CCCCCCCCCAGCTAATAGAGCTGGCCGTCTTAGAAATCGAGTTCCGGCCGCAAAACTATCCTCTCCTGTCTCAGAAGTTAATCCTGATGGGGTAGGCCTGGGCATTTCCTTTTGTGAATCGGTTTTTACATAGCTTTATGCACGCTCGAAGAACTATTCCTGGGTACAAGTTTCAGTGTTGATGTTGCCATTCTTGGTGTACAGAATTCTAATTTCATTGATGTAATTCTTTTGCAGATGAAAGGGACAAAAACGATCAGTTAAAGCTACAAGGTTGTTAACCCTTTCCTTTAGGAAACTTTTGAATACTGTTAACCCCAGTAATTATAATTAGCAAAATTCAGTCAGATTCTCATTTGGTGTGTCATTTCAAGACCAGCAAAATAGACTCTTTTGAGGGAGGGTTTTCATTTTGTATTTTTAACTTTTCTTTATGTTCCAAATCATTCTTCCCCCTCACCCACCCAAAGAAATCAGGAAAATAACTTACTTTACAATATGAAGTAGCATTTTTTAAAAAGTGTACTTTGTGAATGAAATAGGCAAAAATCATGACAGCATCCTAAAGTCTAGATTACACATAGGTTTTTTGTAGTGTGGGGGTAGAAACAAATAGAGAAAGATAACTGATGATCTGATACTAAAACAACAAAGAAATCTTTTTGAAGTGCAAAGTCTAAGTTATCTGGAGTCTAAAGTCATCTGGAGTGTGAGCTTCCTATTTAATCATGAAAGCTATGGCTCTGTCAGCTGTGGTGCGTGTACATTATTCTGTCAAGAGAGCAGCCAAGACTTGGGATCAAATGGAATAATTTTGTCAAAGAAACATGAATCAAAAATCCTGATCCACAATTATTTTTTACAACCTGATGGTGCTTATCTTGTTTTACAAATAGGTTGAAAATTGGTGAGTGATTCAAAGGCCATAACAGCTATATAATGCTGTTATTTTGGAGGCCGTATAACTAAACAATAATTTAAGCAGGCTTTTGTTGGAAGTAATCATTTCACAACAGGCTTGGCCTCTTGCAGTTTCACAAAGGTATGCCACAATTATTTTGATGGCCATGTGTGTAACACAGATGTTGTCTGTGAACATAACCATATTATCTGCTACCATGTTACCATATAAAAATGCATGTGCTGGCCAGGTGCGGTGGCTCACGCCTGTAATCCCAGCACTTTGGGAGGCCGAGGTGAGAGGACTGCCTGAGCCCACAGGTTCAAGACCAGCCTGGGTAGCTTGGTGAGACCTTATCTCTCCAATAAATTAAAAAATTAGTCAGGCCCACATGGTGGCATGTGTCTGTAGTTTCAGCTACTTGGAAGGCTGAGGTGGAAGGATTGCCTGAGTCCAGCAGGTCGAGACTGCAGTGGCCATGAGCGTGCTACTGCACTTCAGCCTGGAGCAACAGAGTAAGGCTCCAACTCAAAAAAAAAAAAAAATCCTGACTCTGTGCCTCAAGTGGCTGACACCAAAAGATATTGGTATTCACATATATACTTCATATGACTTGTGAAGAACTACTGTTTTCCATTCTTTTTTCCTGTCATCTGAAACATTTTTTCCCAATTTAAATGGAATTTTAAAAATTATAATTTTTAGTAAGTGAGATGCATAGAATTTAACCCCCCACCTTATGACTGTCTTTCTAGTTAATTAGGAAGTTTCTGATTAAAGCACCCAAACTGACTCACAATACCCTCTCACAGGAACCTCAGGATGATTGGGAGGTAACATTATTTCACAGTTAGTGAATTATACACTTTAACTGGGTAAACTGTATGGCATATCGTCACTTTAAAAAGTTTATGAAGTTTTCATCTTATTGTCATATTGGTTTCATTGATTTTGTCAGTACATCTAGGGAAAATGAGCACTTCTGTATCCATCACATTACTCCTCGGAGAACTAAAATCTTGCTGAAATGAAAATCCATCTATTTCATATCTATAGCAGCAATTTTGAAGACTGAGTTTATAAATCAAATATTGAGATTTTTTTCTCCGCAGACCTTCTGCTAACAAAATGACAACCTATAAAAGTAGTTTGAGCCACATTCAAGTTTTGCTTTCTAAGGGAATGACAAGAAAGATCTCTAGTTCCCCAGCACAGAGAACTACAAAGGCCATAACAAAATTTTTCCAGAACAAACATTATTCAAAAAGCTGAGTCCAACTATGGCAGAAATCCTTACTTGAATAAACAACAGAGATAACAGCAGAGAGCAAACAGCTAAAAGCTATTGTGGGGCTCAACACACAGGCAATAACTTTCAGCTTATATAAACTTGGATTTTAAAATCTTGGCTCAAACTGTAAACTGCATGAAAAAGATTTCCTGTCTGTCAAGGTGAGGTTACCTCTAAAGCAAATTAAGAAAGCAAATACCAGCCGGGCTCGGTGGCTCAGCCTGTAATCCTGCACCTTGGAAGGCTGAGGTAAGTGGATTGCCTGAGCCCGCGGGTTCGAGATCTGCCTGGGCAACTTGCTGAGACCTCATCTCTACAATAAATAAAAAAAAAAAATTAGCCGGGCGTGGTAGCGCGCGCCTGTAATTCCAGTTACTTGGAAGGCTGAGGCTGAAGGATTGCCGGAGCCCAGCAGGTCGAGGCTGCAGTGGCCGGGAGCGGGCACTGCACTCCAGTCTGGGCGAAT